CTTTATCTCTGCATCATTCCCCACCTCTGCCTTGATTTCTAGTGGGCTGTATTTTCATCGTCAACTTTGCCTTCAAGCGCAGCTAATCTCACGTCATTTGGCCAGTTAGCGTCCAACTCGATACTTATGCAATTCTTCTAGCCTAATTGGCTAACGCCTGAAACGTCAACTCTGAATATTGCCTCGTCACCCGAACTGCGTTCTCGTCGACGTGGCAATCTAAACGCATCCAATCCTTCTTACAAATTCTCCGATTCTCCAATCTCCTATTCTCCTCGAACCAGTGATTTTTATTTCGATGCCTTTTACGTTGGAATCCAAAGAAAATGCCACAAAATAGGCTTCACCTAATGTGAATGAGAGGAAACGCTGGCTAAGGAGTGAATAAGAGTTCCTCACGACATGGACCAAAAGGATCGAGATAAGAGCCGAGATAGAGATTGTCTGGACGAATGGGAAAGATGCATAGTGGACTGGGTAGGGGAACTACCCAATGGGTGGCAACTCCAGAGCAATGACGCCCCTTCAACGGTGATCAGGCGCCGGAAAAAACTCCTCAACTTCCGAAACTCTTGCCTGCACACCATTTTGGACGAAGCCTTACCTGCTCCATATCAATGGCACGATGGAAATGAAAATCGAGAGAGAGAACAAAAACTGGGCGCCAACCACGCAGGCAGTGTAACCCCTTCCAGGTCCAGAATAGTGGGCAGACAAGAGTTTCGGTAATTCAGCAACTCTTTCTGGCGCCTAATCACGTCGTTAACGAGGCATAACTGCTGTGGGATTGCCACCTACTTCTCATTGGTTGAGTCTCCTACCCAATCCACTCTGCATCTTTCCTCCGTGGGATTATCGCGACCGCTTCCTTTAAGTTTCAAACCATATTCAGGCTTCCTTTTTAGTCTGGTTAGTCTGGACGCCTTGACCCTACATAAATGTCCATACAATCAGGCATGCAAAATGTGCACGCAACAATGCGCTCACTAATTTGTATTCACTTTAGGATGTTTTATACCCTGCATTCAATTTCCATACCAAATCTTATAAACTAGTCTCATATTTGAATGTGTGCTAAGGACACAGAGCCATATATTATGCACATTTACGTACGCTAGTCATTGTTAGAGTGAGTCCAAGTCTGAAGTCGAATAACATGCAGTGCCAAACAACAAGAGAAGTTGGCACGAGGGATAGGCCGCTGCCGTAGAAGTTTGACCGGGATCCGGCGACAAAGATATATGCGACAAGTAGCGCCACTTGACATTCACGTGACTGCTCGCACTGGAAGGCAATCGGATCTCGTCCAGGTCCGATGCTCCATTCGTTGAGGGAAGGGCTAATTGGGCGATATTTAAGATAGAGTGCGTAGTTTTTCATTGCTGAAACGGAAGGTAACTATCGTGAAATCTGTTCCAGAGCCACTAAGATTAGTGACTAAACAGCGGAATGCGTGCACATCACCAAATTCCAATAATAATCAAGCTTCAAGCGTCACTCTTCAATTAACACTACCACTCCACCGAGTTTGCCAAAATTATATCCTTATCGCACAGCTGAATTGGTATCGATGCACCGAACACGCGCTCTCTCCATACATCAATATATAAAATGAGCGAAACAGGAAAATTCGGCAAATTTTCAAATTCGCTGTGAATTTCGTATCAGCATTTCTCCCTTTACAAAACCCCTTCCACGTTTTTTCTAACTACGACCCCTCCCTTCCTCCCCCTTCCTTCCTGCTAGTGTTTCTAGCACCACAAACGAGTGATTCTGTATCGTGCGACTTCTTTTAAGAATTGTACCATGTCCAACTGCGCTTCCATTATTTTCATAGCTATCATCATTCCGATACGATCCTTATCTTGGTGTGTCTTAAGGTTCGATTATTAGTAGAACTTATGCTTAGGAGAATTCAAGGCCCAATAATGTGTGGTTAGTCATGTCCTCAGCGGAGTGTCTCTAGCGGACTGGAATCTCCATCTCGATGCTACGGCTCCATTCTAAGAAGCTTGGGAAGGGAATAAGTTCCAAGACGAGCAAAAAGTTGCACTTTCCGCACGCTCAGCATTCATACAAATAGGTGGACGGCACTCTTTCAGAGTCTCATCCAGTAAGCGGGGCATGTGGTGTGACAGTTCTTGCGGCTACAGAAATTCCAATTTTTGCAAGGGAGGGAATCCCCGGGGTGCGTGAACCATTTCGCTTAAACTTTTACACCCACCCCGGAGCTTCCCTCCCCTGAAAAAAAGTGGATTTCTTCATGCAATATGAACTGTCGCACCACATGCCCCCCTTACTGGATGAGACCCCTCTTTCACTTCACAGAGTCTATACTTCTATTGCTTCCATGGTTTGCATCGACACGGTGTGCGGAATGTGCAGGACCTGCGAAAGCACCAGTAGTATGCTGGCGCATGTTTAGCGCGCAAGGAGTGCCTATCGTCACTCAAATGCCTGCAAAACAATCCACCATAGTGCGCGCTAAACATTATGCGTCAGTATCCCATATTGGCGCTTTTCGCACTTTCCACGCATTCCGTGCATTCCACACTAGCACGAAGTATGAAAGCAACCTTCTTTGGCTCAATATCTTTTTCACATCTGAAGAGGTCATGTTTGCAATGTCTTAAGATAAAAGGCTACAACAATATTCGCAGTGATAATAACATTTATTCGCTTATTGTTTGGCAACATATGACAACATATAGTAGTAGAAATGCTACAATGTTAATGCCAAAATAGGTGGGAGTTTATTATTTGTTGTGTACAACAACAACAATAACGACAAAAACACCTCTACGGGTCTCTGGAGGGACGACTAGAAATCTCTAGGCAAGCGCGCATTCAACCAGTTAAGAACAGACAATACTTACTACTGGAAGATGTGGTAATGTAAAACGTGACAAACATGACAAACAAATTCAAATAAAAAAGAAAAAATACCGGACGATAGAATAATTTCATTTTTATGCAACCAGGAAAGGGTACAATGTACAGTATTACCATCGCGAAGAGATCGCTTTTTTATTACTTTCAAATTGTGTGAACCAAACGAATGAATGTAAACGATCGGCTGCCAAGGGCTGCGACAGATCGACGGCGACCTCGACAGAACCGAAGCGGACGCGGCGGCGCGGCGGACACGCACGCACGTGTGTTGCGTTCAACGGTATTCCAGACTAGATCATCATGATCGGATGAGTAGATTGACGAGCGGCACGATGCCAGTGGAGACGACGTCGCGACGACGATGCACGCGGCAACAGCGAGCGACGTCACCGCGTCGCGACAGCACCCGCACGCGTTCGCCGCGCGACACCACCAGCAGACCGGGTTCGCACAAGTCCGCAATCACAGAAGCGAGCGGCGACGCGGTGATTGCCGCCGTCGCCATTGGCGAAAGCGTCCGATGCATGCTAACGCGACTGAAAGCATGTACAATACGGTTCTGATACAATTACAGACGACTACTCTTTATCTCTATGCGACTACAAAGCGCTCCATTGACGCTCGGACGATGTAAGTTCGTACAGCCCAATACAATTAAAAAGGAATGTGGCGGGTGGCACGTGGCGGCGTGCGGTCGCGTTGCGGTCATCAAACAATTTGTTTACTAAGGAATTTTAAGTACCTGATGTCAGCGGGTATGGAGATGCAGTAATCAGACCATCACTAATTGAATGGTCGTAATGTTCACTATGCCGTGGACAGATAAAGCACTCTCGATAACCACTCTGTTGACCGCGACGCGACCGCACGCTTACCAAATAGCCCACCACTCAGACTGCTCTTTAATTGAATTCGGCTGTACATCTACCACTTCACATTAAGAGCAGAAATCTGGGCACATAAAGTATTGTCAGGTAGCTAGCAAGGCTTGATTAGAAATTACCTCTTCGGTAATGGTATCCGAGACCGTCTCTGGTTACGAATATGCGAGTTCGACAATCGGGCCGGTACTGACGAGCTCTTTGGAACTCGAGAATCCGCTGGTAGCCTACACGGCCCACTCCAAAGCATCGACTGCGTATGATGTGGTTGTGAGCATTCTCGAACTTCCAATACTGCAAAAAAAACACGCTTGAACGCTTGAGATCACATCAAGAACGTCACATGAAGAACTTCAACCTTGCCGATTTACTGAGCCGATTTAGCAATTCAAACCTAGGTTATCCTCACTAGGACGGAAAGATATGACACCAACGTCAATATACACCGCCTTTTTGCTTCAACCTAGTCCTTGCACAAACCCTATTCGAAGGTAAAAAATGTCTACCCTAACCTATTGCGACTAGAAGGTGCTCAGAAGCCACACAATGGGTGCAGTTCGGTTGCACGCAATAAAAATCAAAAGAAACTGCCAAAACCTGAAACCCGCTAAACAGGATGTGTTCCTCAGTCAATATTGAACTAGTTCGGAGAAGTTCCCAGTACATTCCCATGAGTTTGTTCTTCGACCTTTCTAGGTTTTTAGTGATACAGTTGAGCGCCATATTCGAGTTCCTCCCATCTGTCCAACATAGCACCGTCAGCAAGAAAGAACTCTTCGTTGTTGTTCGCATTGGTCCAAAGGTGGGCTCTGAGAGTTGAGCGGTACTTGGAAGGCAACGCGAGCTTTTGAGACCCTTATTTCTCATCGTTGAGCCTCCAATCCCTCAGAGGTCGACTTTTCTGAGAGGTTTCACCCAACTCACCAAAAGGATCGATTTGCTTCTAGAAGCCAGGGAAACCCCATTAAGATCTGCGTTCCTACTTTCCCACGACTCAATTAGTTTCTAGGAAATCTAAAATTCTGCATAGATTCGATTAGCACCATTCCCTAGCACACGGCCCATTCAATATGTGTCTCACACCCTCCAAATGGTATCCCTATTCGGGTTATCCTGCAACTTACAGAATAGTCTTGAAAGATCTTGATATCATTTCTAAGTACGGGAGCAACCCTCAATCTTAGCAATTGACGCGGCGGAAATTTCCAAGAAAAAACTTCATGACTTGTCCAATAAGCACCAATCGTTATAATATTTATGAGAGAAGTATAGTATTCTATCCAAAACATATATACCTACAACCGTCATGTCAAAAAAAAACGCTAGGTGTCTCCAAAAACCTAAGGTTTCATTAGACAGCTCAAATTATTTGCGAAAAGCCACAAACCTGGAATAAGGGCTAGCGCGTCGACGAGCCGCCATAAAAGCGTTCGATAAGCCGTGGGAGCGTCCAATAGAAAACTGCCTGGGGAATAAAGGCGACGAAGGACGTTCTCCTTCAGAATAACGTAACACAACCAGCAATCTAGAGAATTTTCCCTGCAAAGGAAGTGAAAATTGAATTGGGCAGCAGAAAGCGACGCTGACGCAAACAACTGGAAAAAAAGAATAGCGGCAAAGGGAACGTTGATGAGGCTATTTTAGCCGTAGCGCTCACCTAAAAAGCTCTTCGAAGAACTGCTCAACACGAGAATTCTCGGACTTCTCGCTCGAATCCAGTTTGTTCACGATAGAATAAACGTCTTTCGTGGCAGGACCTGCAAAAAATGGATTTGTTACTAGAATATGTCGCTGAAGGCGAACCTCTCGTACCTGGTGCAGTTACGGTGCGTATCATACTCCACGACGAGATGTCTTCTTTGAGTCCATCGGACACCAATGCTGCCAAAGCGGTAAACAGATGATTCGGCTCCTCGCCTCGGGCTATGGCTGCAACTGCTTCAACGACCGCTTCGACCAAACAACGTTTTGTGGAGTAAATCGGCAACCCAACCACCGACAGCTCACGAGCTCGGATCTGTTGACTACCAGACGATCTGAAATGGATACATTGGAGAAATCCATACTCATTTCATGTCGTTGAGAGAAAGCGAAAGCCTTTTTTACTTATTTTAAATTTTCCATTGACCCTAATTGAAGTCAATTTCAATTATGAGGAGGGGTACAGGGAAAGGGGGAACTCGTAGTTGGGGAATTTCCTTCACATGTCCTGATCAAATTCCGACCCCTTGCTATTCACCCTCCCTCGTTGAATCTTCGGCGAGTTTACTCAATGGCGAGCGAAGGCAAATAATGCTGTTTTTCTTTCCAGGCAATATCCATCTTAGCCCATCACCATATAAGACGTCACACAATAGCGTTCAAGGCGGCTGAAACGATCTCGCGTCCCTTTTTGATGGGCCTCGGTGGAACTCATTGGTTACAGTTGGAGGAACATGATCTATGAAGCTTACCAGTACAGGAGGGTAACTCTGACAGGGAAGGGCTACAAGGGATATGCATAAGAGCTGCTTATTCTGAAGCTAAATCCATTACCAAGAAAAATGTTTTGTCTGAGTCCAATTAATAAGTATGAAGACACTTTTCATTGTCAGACAGCCAACCCCATTCTAATCCACCTTCCACACAGGGTCAACCCTATGTTGCTACAAGTAGCAACGGGGGGTCGTATTTTGATGAGTTTGTAGAGGGGGGGGGTCGTACTTGCTTCGGTTGTAAGAAGTTGCATGTGATGAGTGGGGAGCGGCGCGGCCCCCGCTCGACGGTAATTTTTTGGGGTAAAAATTGTTTTGAAAGAGGGGGTCGTATGAAACATTTCATGAGGGAGGGGGGTCGTAAAAACTTTTTGAAAAGTAGCAACGATAGGACCGACCCTGCTTCCACATATACCTACTGCGCTTTACCCAAGAATAACAACACGAAACACGCTCTATCGAAGGCTTAGTCTGGCCTCGTTTGCCCATGACAAATGGTTATGCGATTGGCAATTACAGCCATTTGGCCAGCCAAATTAGCCTACAATTCTTCCACGTCAAGGCAGACACACTCCGCCGTGAGTTATTTATACCCGTTCCCACCGAACCTCAATACCGCGACCACTTTAGGTTGGAGCTAGAATGGGAAAGACGTTGCTTAAAAACGCTAGCCTATTCAAGGACTCATTAGCAAAACAGCTGTCAGAGCTATTTATTACTGTTCCATATGAACTCTTGAAGCCCCGAAAAACACTACCCGGATTTATAGGCCAGAATATGACTTCATCTCTGAAATTGAGCAGGGATTGTATTCAAGCGACCACCCCAAAAAGGGTCAATAGATTTTCATTTCACACCTAATTATGATTGCTTCGAACCTTAGTTGGAAGCTAGCTTGATAAGGTGCGGATAATAACGGGATACACTTCAAATCATCCACTCGCTTAGGGGGTTCGTTAACGATTTTTCAAAGGAATTCTGGGGATTGTCAGTGATCACTCTACCCATCATCGATGTGTTGGAAAGTGGAACATGAAATGCGAACCTTAGGAAGGAGGGGAAGGGGGGGGTGGAAATTTGTTTCGAACTGTAACGTCATGCACGAGCTCTGTTATGGACCGCCGCAAAAACGTCCTTTATCACTCCCACACCGCATGAATCACACTAGCTTCATGTCAGCCTTGTTTCGATGGGTTGGATGGATTAAACACGCTTGTCGGTCAATTGTAAGAAACAACTCCCGTTCCCATAATAAGTTGCATCGGGCCCTCCAAAATTTTATTGAAAGCATCGCCCTCCTTCAGCTTATCAATCGGATGAAGTTTATCAAATATGCTACCACCTTCTGCTCTTTGGCATAAGCTCGTGTGATGTTTCGGGTCGATCCGGTGAGCAGTCGCACAACACATGACGCGATGCGGTCGAGTGAGCCCAATTCGGCGGATGTATCCTGAACGTATCACGTTTTAAGGTGACGCTGCGCCTGGTACGAAACGGACGACGACGACAAACGTCGGGAAGTGATAGGCAGGCAGGGGGACACTTACCTCCTACGCACTCGGAAGCACGTCCTGCACGGTTCGGTACGTTTTCGTTCGATACAGTTGGAGGGTGACGACGAGGAGCTCAATAGTTGAGCGTTTTCGACTTGAAGAATGAACATGCTCGGCAACGTGCCTAAATTTGAAGATTTTTGAGTTAAATAAACAAAGTTGGTATTTACATTTTGAAACATGGAACACTTATTCATGGTTGAGACATCAAAACACTGCTACATAAATGAACACCGCAATGGCTAACTCTACGCCAAACTACCGGCTGAAATCGCCCCTGTTCTGATTTAGCTCTAAGGGATGATATCCTTTAGTCGTCAACGCCGTCTCAGCTAAAGAGAATGATAGCACGTGGTATAACAGGCATTTAGAAAAAAAATGCCGGCTAAACGGGTGGCTTCTGGTCGATTCATTGAAGTGGAAGCGAACACATACAGAAGTGCCTATGGTTCAAGACAAAGCCATATGCATGGCGTGTCCTTGAACGTGTTGATTAATGAACTCCCGCATTTACCTCCCGGGGCTCATTGCCTCCACGCATATAAGGAATGTAACGGGCGCAATAACGACGATCATGCTCCGATTATTTGTTAGGTAATTGATGATTATTGCCTGTCACTTGGCCCTTGATGGGACTAGATTGACAAAGGGATATAGGTCCGCTCTAGATGAGATAAAATTAAGGATGCTAATCAATCTTATCAAATTCTATACTAATGCTAGCACGCGATCGGCACACGTGGCCAATTGGCGCTCTTTCGTGCGCATTCTTGATTCGAGAAAGATACGGTAGAGCGAAAAGGAAGATAAATTTTGGAGAAAAACACTTTCAAACCAGCCGCTCCTGAATTACTTCCTTCCAAGCCAGAGATGGATTATAGGAAAACGCAAGAACTAAGGATAATAGCACACTTAGTTAGCCTGATATTCCACCAAAATCATCGTTTTCAAAGGCTTGAATGCTTTTCGAATCATCCTCAAATGTACCTATCCGCCTATCTCAGACCTGCACTCAACCAAACGTCACCTAGTCTAACTAGGACTAGGGAATGGAATCCAAAGAACGATTAGTTAGCTTTACTTATCTTTCGCATTTGCTCTTAGGCTAAGCTCTCGCAAGGCAAGAAGATAGTTTTCCTTTCCACATTAAGCACTGAACAGAAAAAACCTTCATCTAGCCAATCCTGGATTATTTTCTTCCCAGGCATTGAAGCCTTCAGGGCACAATGTGAAGCTGAAGTCTTGTGCTGACGTTCGCCCTTTCATTTTTCACTGGGATTAGGGGGCTTTTTGAGGCAAACAATTTGGAGCGAAGGACATTCTGCGCAGCTCATCCACCCTTCATTATTTTTGAATCATTAGGCAACTAGAAAATGCCTCAAAGGATAAATAGTTTAGCAGCAAGCACAAGCGAAGCTTCTGGAATGATGTAACCATCCTCTGCTATTCCAAAGATCGATTCCTCACCAACTAAGCTCTGCATACCTCTGGAATCACCTAGTTCTTGTCTTACTTGTTCAGAGACTCACTAAGATTTACCAAGGCCTAGTCCAGATCATTGTAAATTTTGAGACATTCAAATATTTTTGCACTTCTGAACGGTATTAAGATGGATGCATGGCTTACTACCCAGCGGAAAAACCTATGTTAGAAGCTTTATACTTTCTATCCATAAAAGTATTTTCGGAGGCACTCGCATAACATGCTCCACTCAAAGCTAACACTGACTGCTGACAAGTGGTACACAATGGCAAAAGGCACTGCTGTTGCGTTAACTTGATCGATGAGCTCGCTCATCAGTTTGATGTCGACCTCGTGACAGCCGAACATTCCATCTTACGGGATTATTGGTAGGTGCTTGACTCCGCCACAAAGCCAAAAGTCATTGGAACAAACATCCCTTGGCCCAAACCATCCCATGACCCTCGATAAATTGCATGATCGAGTTTGAGGGCGGCATATATACGGTGTATTCCTTAGGAAAGAACATGCCGACGATGTAAACTGGGTTTCAAAGGTGAATTTCACAGATGAGGCTTTTTTAGAACTCCTGCGCTTAAAAATTATTTCCTTTTTCTCTTGCTTTCACATCTCAATGTTCTCTCTTTTACCTTCATCAAAGGCACTCTCGTTGCCGCAGTTTTTCAACCGGAAATAGCAAGAACCTTTCAAGGCCTTGAGGAATCGAAAGCACTATAAAGTTAGGAGCGAAAAGTCGCTCTTTGCGTGACCCTTGAGGCGATTTATGCCCGGAAGGGCTGGGAAAACTTCTTCTTGGAGTTGAGCTGGGTTTTGACTCGGGAGCGATAACTTTACTCTCGGCTATGAATCGTATAGAATTTCACTCACTCGCTTCCAATCTGCACCCTTTATCGGAAGGAGAGAAGATAAGCAGCATCGAAGTAAATAAGGGTGCAGAATGAGCTCAAAAACAGGATAGGAAGTCAAAAATAAGCAGAACGATGACTGAGGTTGTGTGGTGGTTGCAGAAAAGCTCTTCCTGTCGATCGCCAATTCCTTGTTTTTCTCGGCTATGTTCGGCCCGAGTCTGGATGAGCGAGACGCGGCATAGCATTGTAAACGGGACGAATCTGGTTTCTCCTTGAGCCCGATTCGTTTTGAAAACCGTTAGTTCCGTTTATTGGCAGCTGTCTGTGTTGTTTGGTCTCGCGTTCACCTTGTTTCTAATCAGTGTCGGAAAGGCCAATTCGATAAAGGCTGATTTGTAGGCGGTCATTTTCGTATAATGCAAAAATGCAAAAGACTGTCGTTGATCGATAGACCCAGTGTTTTTTATTTCCTAGACCAATATTAGCATAACCCGCGGAGATGGCAATTTGGAGCAATTTCTCATCCAACCTTCTCCCGAGAGGATGAATCATCACTCAGAGTGGCTTCATGGGATTGCTCGTAGTCTCTTTAGGTGACAGCTTTTCCCCATATTTATGGAGGCAGCGGGGTGTTTCGCAAGCGGGAAATCGATCCGTCTTGTCTAATTCACCCTTCGGGCAGTCCCATAGTAGTTGTGGTGAGTGGTGAGGGACGACGGCGGCGGCGGACGGGCAAGCTCTTAGGCGATGTGCCACGCAATGACAGCCGTCCATCCAAGACGGCTGTTCTGCTGCACTCGATCTCGTATCCGGAAACCGGAGACGCTGATTATACGTCCATGTGTAAACACCGCCACTCCGCACGTGGGGGTAATCACCAAGTGACAACAAGCACCTCGCAGGGTTTCCATCTCGTGACCCGCTTCCAGGTAATTCACTTCTTGGAAGAGTGGCTGGCAATATAAGAATGCATTCACTAAGCACCTCCTTACCCTTCTCCAATAAGTGAGCGCAACTAGAAGCGAGTGAATGGAACTCTTTACGATTTTAAGCTCAGGGTAAAGTAATCGCTTCCGGTCGCAACCCGAGCGCAACTCCAAAAAGAAGTTTTTAATCTTTCCGGGCATAAATCGTGGCTCAAGGCGACACGAGATCTTTTTTTTCGCTAACAGATTTTATAGCGTTTTCGATTTTCTACGAAAAGGCAAGCCTTAAACCAGGTTTTTTGCTAATGTCCGGTAGACCAACACTCTATCTTTGGCGGTCCATACGAAGACGTGCCTTAGATGGTTAAGAAAGAAAATTGAGGGTAGTGAAGCAAAAGAAACAAGGAAAACCTTTATTGACAGCGCAGGGAGTTCTGAACAGCTTATCTTAGCAGAAATTCACCTTTAAAACTGTCGTTTACAACGTCGGCGGCCGGATCCGAGGTCTTGTTCTTTCTAAAGAATACACCATATATGTGCCGCCCTCAAACTTGATCACGGCATTTATCGAGTCATGGCAGGGTCAACCCTATGTTGCTACAAGTAGCAACGGGGGGGTCGTATTTTGATGAGTTTGTAGAGGGGGGTCGTACTTGCTTCGGTTGTAAGAAGTTGCATGTGATGAGTGGGGAGCGGCGCGGGAGAAAATTTGCCGTTTCAGCGCGCGTATATACCTCCCCCCCCCCCCCCCCCCTCCGCTAGAAAATGGAGCTTTTATGGTAAGTATATACCCCCCCCCCCGCTCGACGGTAATTTTTTGGGGTAAAAATTGTTTTGAAAGAGGGGGTCGTATGAAACATTTCATGAGGGAGGGGGTCGTAAAAACTTTTTGAAAAGTAGCAACGATAGGACCGACCCTGGTCAATGGGAATGGTTTTGGGCCAAGGGATAGTTTGTTGGCTTTGTGGCGGAGTCAAGCACCTACCAATAATCCCGTAAGATGGAATGTTCGGCTGTCACGAGGTCGACATCAAACTGATGAGCGAGCTCATCGATCAAGTTAACGCAACAGCAGTGCCTTTTGCCATTGTGTACCACTTGTCAGCAGTCAGTGTTAGCTTTGAGTGGAGCATGTTATGCGAGTGCCTCCCGAAAATACTTTTATGGATATGAAGTATATCAAGCTTCTAACATGAGGTTTCCGCTGGTAGAAGCGGGCCATGCCGCATCCATCTTAAATACCGTTTAGAAGTGGCAAAAATATTTGAATGTCTCAAAATTTACAATGATCTGGACTAGGTCTTGGTAAATCTTAGTGAGTCTCTGAACAAGTAAGACAAGAACTAGGTGATTCCAGAGGTGTGCAGAGCTTATTTGGTGAGGAATCAATCTTTGGAATAGCAGAGGATGGTCACATCATTCCAGAAGCTTCGCTTGTGCTTGCTGCTAAACTATTTATCCTTTGAGGCATTTTCTAGTTGCCTAATGATTCAAAAATAATGAAGGGTGGATGAGCTGCGCAGAATGTCCTTCGCTCCAAATTGTTTGCCTCAAAAAGCCCCCTAATCCCAGTGAAAAATGAAAGGGCGAACGTCAGCACAAGACTTCAGCTTCACATTGTGCCCTGAAGGCTTCAATGCCTGGAAGAAAATAATCCAGGATTGGCTAGATGAATGTTTTTTCTGTTCAGTGCTTAATGTGGAAAGGAAAACTATCATCTTGCCTTGCGAGGGCTTAGCCTAAAAGCAAATGCGAAGGATAAGTAAAGCTAATTAATCGTTCTTTGGATTCCACTCCTTAGTCCTTAGTTAAGAAACTAGGTGAACGTTGGTTGAGTGCAGATCTGAAAGCCTC